GTTTCCTCAGGAGGGTTTTGACAGAGCATGCACGTGTAGTTGTTCCCAGCCACAGCAAAATGGTGGCGCTTCAGCATGTTTTTAGTGTTCACTCGATCAACCATCAATAGCCAACCAAACATTTTGAACTTGATTGGACTCTTGGCCTTCCATAACCACCCAAAAGCCTCGTCAGCAACCGTGTCCCTGAAACAGTGATCATAGTATCTCTTGGAGGAGAAAGACCCGCCAAGATTACAAACCCAAGAGTCATTGCAATCCCTGTCAAGCACGACATGCATGGATCCGTGATGAATAGCTCTGATTTCCTGTCTCGCTTGCATGGAGAGAGGTAGGTGAAAGATCAGGCTGGGATCAGAGGCAGTCAGAATATTAACCACGGGCTCATCATCGTTTAGGCAGAAAGAGAAGGCCCTGGGGTAAAGCTCCATAAGAGGGGTGTCACGATTGTCGAACCATGCATCTTTCCAGAACAGGGAGGATGAGCCATTGCCCAGAACAACCTTGGTGATCCCGCAGAACACATCACTAAGCTGCATAACATCACGCCACCAGAAAGAGCCCAACTATTCCACTGCATGTGGAACCCTGTCAGAATAATACGTGTCCCAGATCAGGGTCACCCAGGGAACATCATGGTGGTTATAAAATTTAAAAATATGCTTTAGAAGGAGGGCAGCGTTCTGGGTCTTGATATCAATGACACAGAGTCCCCCTTTATTTTTGGGTCTACAGACCAACTCCCAAGCAGCGAGGGAATTATTTTTGACGCTATCATCAGAATTTTTTGCCCAAAGACAGTACCTGCGCAGCTTGTCGAGGTGCTCAATAACCTTTGGGTGCAGTTTGATCGTGCACATGGCGTAGATCAGCATGGAGGTAACAGCAGAGTTGACCAGGGTTAGCTTGGCCCCCGAGGACATCAGTGCAAGGGCTGTTGACATTTTCCTTTCCACCCCATGCACCAACGGCATGAGATCAAGCAGCGTAGGCCTTGTCGTGCCCATGGGGAGGCCAAGGTAAGTGAAGGGCATAGATCCAACGGAGCAGCCGAAAATGTGAGCCAAGTCAACAACGTGCTGCTGATCAAGGTTAATGAGAATAAGTGTGGATTTATGAAAGTTAACTTTCAGACCAACAGAAGCAGCATAATCTTCTAGGATTGATTTCATATGGGTAGCTTGGACAGGACACGCAGGCATCACCAGGATGGTGTCGTCTGCGTATATGCACATGTTCAGGGGGAGCCTCGTCTTATGTATGAAGACAATACTCACAACACTAAAATTTTCACATACTTTTATCCCCGTTGAAAACTTCAACCAGTTTGTCATCAATCACCAAAAAGGGGGAGATTGTAAGTGCATCTAGTGCCACCCCTAGTTGGTTCTGGAGTATCGACGACAAACCTAGTTTAGGGACTAATGTGTTTGTGAGAATTGCAGGATAACATAGGTAGTAGTCCCATATTGATTCGGTTTACCTACCAGAGATGACCCCTAAAAATGTGTGAGGACATTGAAGATAATGGTGGTTTGTGAAGACATTCACATTGAAGACTATGACAGGAGAAAACATCGCGTGAAGACTATGGAGTGCGAAGACATAGTTGTTTCATAGTTTCATTTTCTTCTTTGTTGAGTCATAGGAACCACCGTACTGTTAAGTGGGGTCCAAGTGAACAAAGTCAGAGTGACTGAAGTGATGCTCAACCAAATCCTATGTCTTCGAGCAAAGACAATGAGAGCAAATCTTATCCAGAGCTGGATGAGACAGCGTGACTTGTAGCCCAAGCTATGCTGCCGCGTGTGTTTGAAATCTGATAGTTGGACACGTGTCAGTTCCTTAGTGACCCAGGGTCATTTCGGACAAATCAGGTCGGGTTGCTTCCTGGCTATAAATAGCCCACCCCCTACACCATAAAATGTGTGGCTGCTCAGATTTTGTGCAGGGCTTTTGTCGTTTGAGTGCAACCCACCTCTGAAGCCTTTGAGAGAAAATCCTTGAGAGGACAAAGCCCAAACACCCAGAGCCAAAGAGTGTTAGGCATCACTGAAGTCTTTCTGCCCGCGGGATCTGAAGACTTATTACACTTGAGGACTGTGAATCCTCCAGCTGGTTAGGCGTCGCGTTCTGAGCATCCAAGAGTCATTGTGGGTTGCCGGTGAACAAAGTATGTGAAGGTTTGGAAGTCTCCCTTGAAGACTTACTAGAGTGATTGGGCGAGGACTAAGTGTTCTTAGCTCAAGGGGAATAAGGTGAAGACGCGGTCTTCTGAGTTGAATCTCAGCCTTCCTAACCAGATGTACGGTTGTCACAGCAACTGGAGCTGGTCCAACAAATCCCTTGTCCTCTCCGAGCAATTGGTTCTATCCTACCTCTCTCATCTTACTTACAGTTTGTCTTCGTGAAGTCTTTGCTTACTTGCCTGATCTGATTGACTTCACTGTGTGAAGACTATAGTCTGTTTGGCTTCATATTATCTTCCATCCTGATCCATACTACGTAGCTGCTTATAGTCTTCGTGCTTTCACCTCATTGCTTACTTGACTATGGTTTGTCTAGTGTAGTCTATCTTCCGCTTCATATCTATAGGTTCAATTCTATTGTTTGTCTTCAAAACACCCCTGTTTGAAGACTTTCATAAAAATTGCCTATTCA